CCCGCCCCGCCATAATTGCGCGTTGTCTCACGTTCGCACCTGTGCAAATCGTGGGCTGTATGGGTATGATACCGTACAGGCAGCCCCTCTGCCTTCTTTTTCTGGTTACTGGTGAGAAAAAAATTACATGGTGGACTTAAATTTAACACTCTTAACAAGCCATCAGGCAGCCTTTCCTACATTTCTAGTTGTGGGAATTTGTATTGTAGTTACTGCTGCTGAGCTTTGGCCTTTTGTGCCGTGAGGACCTGGGTCTTCCTTTGGGGCCCGGCAGCAGGTCTTGGTGCCAAACCCAGCAGCCACCCTCTGTCCCTCCCCTCACCTTGTGTGGCCGGCTTGGCTGCAGAAGGGTCACGGAGCGGTGTGTGAGAGGAGGGCGAGGGGCCCTGGGGTGTGTGAAAGGAGGGCGAGGGTCCCCGGGGAGCACGGAGAAGTTGCGCTGCCATTTCTGCGGGGCTGACTGGCAGCAGAGAGGAGCTGTGCTGGGGGAAGTGCTGCAAAGAGCAAGCAATGGGGAGGGGTGGTGGGGGTGGTGGTGAGGGGCGCTGGGGAACTGACGGTGCCCGTCTGCCAAAGAGGGGTCCTTTCCGAGCAGAGGAGAAATGCCAGCGCCAAGGCTGGATCTGGAAGAGGGGGAAGAAAGCCTGTGCTTCAGGGCAGCATCATGTCCATCTTTCTTGGGTCACATCTCTTAGTACTAGAAGAAGGGGAAGAAAGGCCCAGCGACACCAGATAACGGGACTCAATGGCACTCTGATTAGAGCAAAGGGCCCTTCAGGTCCATAGGGCCAGGCCCCATGGTGTTTGAATCAGGGAAAAGGGGCCTGCAAGAGAACAGGGACAGGCACCATGGCACCTTCCTGAAGGGAAAGGGGCCCTGCAAAAGCAGAGGGCCAAGACCCGTGGCGCTGTGCTCTGGGGAGAGATGTGCTCAGAGAGCACAGGTCCAGCCCCATGGTAGTCAAAGCAGGGCGACGAGGCTGTGCAAGACCAGAGGGAGAAGCCCCATGGTGCTCTGCTAAGGACAACGAGAGGCAACGGTGGGCATAGCCCCAGGAAAAGGGGGAGAAAGCAGCATGGGTGGGGATAGCAATGCCACCTGCACTGTTAGTAACACAGAGACTTTTTGCAGTTTACAGGCCTTTATTTTATTTCACTTACAAATTATGTCACTTAGAGCACAGGGAGCCATTGAAGGCCAGTGCACGCCCCAGCTGCTGGCCCAGCCCTGGTTTCAGCAGCACCTGGGACATTCTTCTAGCACTGCCAGCGGGGTGGCCTCTTCTTGGCTGGAGAAGAGGCCTCGGGGCTGCCAGACCTCCTCTTTGGGGCTCGCCGTGGCCCCCCAGGGGAGCGTTCCCTGCCCTGGCTGGATGTAGATGGACCTGCCATGGCCTCCTCAGGCTCTTCCTCCTCAGGGATAGGAAAGAGGACAGAGGGAGGGCTTCCAGGACCCCCACGAAGGGCAGCTGCCGAGGTGCTGGGGTAGCCATCCGCATTGGTTCCTTGAGGGCTGTAGGAAGGGGCCAGCCCAGGTGTGGGAGACCCTCGCCAGGAGGCAGTGGGGCCAGGGACACCCGTGGGGCTGCCCTCCCACCCCCCCGCAGCATGGCCGTCCTCCAGGCCCAGCAGACGGCGGGCCTCCCCGCTGCACTGTTGCACAGCGACATGAATGAGCTCGTGCACAAATGTCGCCGCGCTGTTTTGGAGGGTGGCCCTCAGCAGCTGGACCAGCTGGTTTTCATCCAGCCCAAAGAGGACAAGCAGGGGTATGATGAGGCCCTCCACTGTGGCTGCTCGTGAACACCAGTTCCCAAAGATCCACCTCAGCTCCTGACGCACCCAGGTCAGAAGGGGCTGGAGGAGAGCTGGGTGGTCCCGGAAAAGGGATGCCCAGGTGTTGGGCTGGAGGCCGCCCGGAGGAGCCCTGGGCAGCTGGATCTCCACAGGCTGTCGTTCTGCTGCTGCAGGGCTGTGGGCAGCTGGACGGCCGAGAGCTCCTCCTGCCTGGCGGCCGATGACTGGTGGTGCTGCAAATCGGGTGATGATATGCTCCTCAAAGTCATCGTCTGCCCCCACTGAGTGCATGATGGAGATGATCCTCCCCTTGCAGAGGGGGCACTCGGGCTTGCTCTCAGCCCACCGCACAATGCATGGGTAGCAGAATTGGTGGAGGCACGGCATCACGTAGCTGGCCTCCTCCCAGCTGTCCAGGCATATCGGACAGCGGTTGGCCGGCTCCGCAGCCATGCCTTCCACATGTTGCAGTGGGCTGGGGGAAGCTGGGGATGTCAAGGCACTCCTTGTCACCGGCGCTGCAGCAGCGGGTGTCACGCTAGAGAAGGAAGAGAGGCCAGGGTCATTGGCTGGCCCGGGGAGGGGTGGAAGAAGTGCCCAGGTCCCTCAAGAAGGAAACCCTCCCAGCAACCCACTCCAGGCTGAGGTTTCCCCTCCCAGCTCACCTCTGCTGCTGCGAGCGTGCCTCCTGGGTGCCCCGGCTGCCTGCATCTGGCAGGGCCGGGGAAAATCCTTCAGCGGCTCTGGGGCTGGACATGGAGAGCTGCAACGAGCAGCTCCCCGACCACCGCAGCAGCACCAGTGGCTTCCCTCAACACTCCAAACCTCGCGAACTTGCTCAGCTGGAGCGTGGGCTGGACCTTGCTGAGATTGGGTGTCTGAGTGTAAGCAGTGAAGGCCGCCTGGTCACAATGCGGCACCTGGGGTTGTTTTCTGGTTTTGGCTGACCTAGAATTAATTTTGATTCTAGTAGCTGGTATG